TGCTTGCCTCTTAAAGCTAATCAAATTTCAGTTTTGAACGTTGCACATTAAAGGATTTGATTGCATAATGTGAACGGTTGGAGGCAAAGACATAACGCTTCCGTTTTGTGTTTCATAATCATTGTTTAATATATTAAAAGGAATAAAACCGCACCAACGCTTTAAACATTTCAGACGTTACTCCATTTTGAAATTCATGGCCATCATTTAACACATTAAAACATGGTTAAAGCACCTGGATTTCAAACCGTTCTAAGCCTTAGACAGTTATAGAGAATTTCCGGTCAGCAATTTGAATGGTTCAATGCATTAAAAGATTTTTCGGTTTAAGATTTTAGTGGACCACTTTTAAATTCCTTAATGCGTTGAAAATCCTTTTATGACATGAAAACCCTTTTAACAATTGATTTTCCTATTCTTAATAATAATAAGAAAATCTGTTCACAATTAATACTCAATTTGTTTTTATCTTCCCATATTCCCAATTAATGTAAGATCCTTTCTTTGACACACCCAAAAATATTACAACAAAAAAGAGAGCGGTCGGTGCCTCCTGTACCCTTTCTTCAGTTGACACAAAGTTAAGCTGTCATGAGAAAACGTCTAGAACAATATTTTCCTTGTTCCAAGCACACCAAGTTTATCTCTCTAAAAACCAATGATCATCTTATGTCTCGTTCATGAATTTGCAGGAAACAAAAGCGTTCCCATGCCTTTGTTTGTCTTGGGAGTCTAAGGTGGCGACTACAATCTTTCCCTACGTGTTGATTATGGTCTGCAGAGTTACGTTGTGCTAGTCAAGATTAGCATCGTTACTTTTCAAGGAAGCACACATGGGATGAGCATGTTTTGGGTTCTGCCGGAACTTTGTCAAAAGGCTTTGCACATGTGGATGATACTGTAGGGGACCTCTAAGTTATTCAACAGTCATTTAGAGGTCCATCAAGCAGTGCTGCAACCTTTTGTCTCTTGATGTTCTTTTATTTTCTGGTTGTTGTATTTTGTTAATAAGCGGCATATGTTGCTCGTGTTCCCATGTTTGTTCGTTTCCAGCAGATGTTGCTCCTTTATGGATCTTGTCGGTTACTTACTCAAGCACTAGCCTTGCTGTTTGTTCTTTGGCACACCCCTACTTTGGCTTTCATGCCAAAACCTCGCTCTCTAGTGCATCTTGCCAGGGTATGGGACTCTCTGAAGTGTCACAGATGACAGTGTCTTAACTATTATGAGCTGTAGCTCGTACTTTGGTTTTTTTCTTACTGACATTACATCATGAGATCGATGATGCAGTATATGTTACTGCACGTGTTTTTATGTTTTTTTGTTATTAGCTTTTTGTTTTGCCAATCGTTTCTTTGTCTATTCTTTCCATGTTTCGGACATTTTAGGCCTGCCTTCTGCTTTGGTTCACTTGGGCTTGACTCAAATTAACCGAATGTGATTAGCCGGCCTTTTAATATAATTGTTTTTCTTATATTGAATAAAATTGTCTTTTTATTAAAAAAAATAAAAGCTAGTTTGATCCAATTTCATTAAGTCCATCATTGCGCAAGACATTTTAATTTTCTTCACGACTTCTCTCTATTTCCATTTATGTATCTAACGACAATGTGTTAGCTTGCCCTCCCTTTTTCATAGGCTTGGAACTCTCTTGTAATTTTATTTCTTTTTTATTAACGTAATTTATCTTTTTATTAGAAGGAGTTTCACGTGTAAATCTACCTATGAAGTATTTTGCTAGAGACACCAGCACCGTAAACTTTTTTTCGATGCAAAAGTGTGTATGAAGTTTTCAAAATGATATAAAAATATCATAGCTATTAATGTTGATAGTTTAACAAACATGTCAACTAAGAAAGGAGAATACTTAAGTCAAGTTCATTAGGTCAAGTTTATCCATTTATCCAATCATATTCTACCACATGTATTATTTGACCCCATCACCATTTAACCCCCACAATCCGTTTAATCACCGTTAGTCTAGAAAAATTATTTTTTTAAAAGAAGTCAAAAAACAATAGAGCATCGTTGATCCATCGAACAAAGGATGCGACGGGCGGCGAAGAAGAGCACTTACGGCAAAGGGTGAGAAAGCATGCTGCCTGAAGATATTGCGGCTCTTTTGTTTTGATTTCTTGGGGTTTCTTTAATTATTTTATTGAGAAAGACGTTGAACTACGCCAAAGTTCTTTTTGATATCCAGTATGTCGAAATCAATATAGCTTCCCTATAACAATTATTTTATTAATTTGTTTGCTTTTTAATTTTTTTATCCAGCCAACTGCGTACATATTTTTTCCTTTTCCTCCACTGTAGACATTCAAATCACCCATGGCTGGTGAATATAATCACTTGCCTTTTGTTTTGTTTATCCCATATATTTTTTCCTTGTTGTTTCTCTTTTTTAATATATACTTTTATATTAATTATATAAATATTTTACAAAACATGAAGTAAATGAAGCAGATTTAACTCCATATGTTCATCTCCCCGAAAACCTAAAAAGCAAAATTTTACTCCCAATCAAAAATCAAAGAAGCCTCGAGAAATCAAAACAAAAGAATCTCACATAAGCAATACCATTCATGTGGCAGTCTTTCTTACCCACAAAATCCCTTTGTGCGCCCACCGGCCATCGCTTCCTTGGTTTGTTGGATCGCATAAACGACGCCCAGGTTTTGTTTTTATGTTTTTTTTGTAAAATAATTTTTCTAGACTAACGGTGATTAAATGGATTGTGGGGGTTAAATGGTGATGAGGCCAAATAATACATGTGGCAGAATATAATTGGATAAATGGACAAACTTGACATAATGAACTTGACCTAAGTATTCTCCACTAAGAAAATAGTACAAAACTACCTATGAAATTTCCAAAGTGATGCAAAAACATACATAAAGTTTTTAAAAACCATAACGTTTTTGCATCATTTTAGAAACTTCATGTGTATTTTTCTATTATTTTCTTGACCTATATATTGGCTAAATGATTATTGTTAGTTACTTATAGGTTTTGATATTTTTGCCTCAATTTGAAAACTTGGGTTGACATGCAAATTTATCTCAAAAGTTTTCATTTAAGAGCACTGGATGCCTAGAATTTTTTTGGATGCAAATTTGCTATAGGACGTAGCAATATTACCCCATACCATTTAAAAACTAACAATAACCATTAAAACAGTAATATTGACTATTAACATTTATAACAATAAGAAATAATATTGTTACAATTTTAAACTTTCAAGTACCTAGTGTTTATAAGTAAAAACTTTTGTGACAAATTTGTACCTTAACCCTAAAAACTTCATGTATACTTTTGGACCTAAGAAAAATTTAAAGTTAAAGATCCAAAATACCCATGAACTTTTACCGAAAGTTCACCCAACACCATGAATTTTCTTTAGGTTCAAATCTATCCATCAAAGTTTAAAAAGAAGTCAATAATACCAGTGTCATTAATGTCCCTTTTTTTAAGTAGTGGGACCCACGTTTTTTAAATAAAAATACCAAAAATAGCCCTAATGACAAAAAGTTATGGGTCAAATACCCATGGGTATTTTTTACCCTTAGTTTTTTTTTTGGTTTTGAACGGGGGTATTGTAGTAATTTCATTAAAAAAGCATGAATCCCACGGCTAAAAAAACGGATGTTAATGATGCTGGTATTATTGACCTTTTTTTAAACTTTGATAGGTAGATTTGAACCCAAAGAAAGTTCATGGTGTTTGGTGAATTTTTGGTAAAAATTTATAGGTATTTTTTACTTTTAATCCAAAAATTTATGATGTTAATGCCCATGGCAAAATATTTCATAGGTAAATTTGCTCCTCAATTTTAAAAGAAAAGAAAGTCTAAAAGGACCGATCCATGTTTAGATATTCATGTCCATTGATTCATTCCCTTTTCAAAACCTGAAAAACATACCGAAATTCATCAGCTGATAATATCCTTTACGCTTGATTACAGTAGGTATGTATTATCATTCATGAGTCTCTTTTTGCTTATTGACACTAACGATTTGAGATCACAAACACTTATAAGGAAGTTTTTATGCCATTAGCTCCATTCATGAATCTTAGTAATGTAATCATACTTTAAGAAAGTTTGCCAACCAAAATGTAATTCCCTTCCCATTGCAGAAGCCCAACCAAGCATCTAAATTAACTCTTCACATTAAGATCACATATAATTTTGTTTCACGAAATCAAACCAAACAAACATGCCATAGGTCTCAGTTTATTTCAGAATACACTTTATGAATGTGATCCAAATTATTGGAATATGTTATCTCCTATACACCAATGGGTAATAAAATTCAAAATTCTACCCCAAAGATAAAACAAATGAAGAGATGAGTAAGAATACACACTGGTGTAAAACACTAACAAACTTTTAGCATCATCATACCGTTAGTGGTGTTTTGGATTTTCTTTAAAATTACTTTGCTCTTTCCATAACAAAATGATTTAAATAACAACTATTAGGCCGAACAAATTGAGGGAAAAAAGCAAATAAGCCAATTATAAGCAATATAACTGTATGAAAAATGAATCCACTGCTCAATATAAATGTTTATAAATATTTTCATTTAAAACTTTCGGTACATACTTCGTATTTTACAAAATCAATTGAAAAACTGATTTTGAAAACTCTAATCGTCATTCCAAACAAGCTCATATATTGATATCACTGATTATTAATTTGTTTTGGTCTTTAAATGAATCTACCAATACATTGCTCTGGATAATGGATAACCAAAGGAAAAGGCAAAATTTCACATCTTATATCACCCCCCCGGGGGGGGGGGGGATACAGTAAATTTGCCCAACTTCATCTGGCTAACAATATTTTTGTTTTCGATCATAGCATTGTGTTTTTTTGGTTGCCATTGATCTTGGTTTGTTATTAACTTAAAAATATAATAGTTCATCCATAAATACATTACTCAAATTTACACATGCTAAAACTAACTATAATCAAGCAATTAAAGAGGGAAGCTAAGTGGACACAAAAACTCGTGCAATTGAAGATGGAAGGAAATATACATGAAAAATCTTTAAACTAGTTTGATTCAAATCTTCTCGTCTACCATCTACAAGCCACTGTACAAAGGCAACCGTCTAGATTCAACAGTGACCAAAACGACATTAAATTTTGCTGACAACTCAATAAAGAGATCACAAAGGAAAAAGAATTTTATTTCACCTACAGAGAAACAAATCAATGCTTAATAGATCAAAGACCAAAAAATAGCGCAGAGAGAAGAAAGATTCTTACACACTACATTTCAAACACATACAGGCCCTTATCTACTAACCGGTGAGAATGGGGGAAAAATAATGGAGAAACTAAAGCCATTGATGCTCTTGAACCAACAGATGGTAGAATTCCATATAAAGCTCAAGATCTTTGATTAATATACATATTTTGTTCTGTGATCCGCACGAACACCCTTTCCTCCATTGACTTCCAAGTCATGCCTGCATCAACAGAACATTAGAGAACTAACTTTTGTTGGGGCACCATCCATCGGTTCAACCCATCCCATGAAGGCTACGACTTAAATAAGTCCATTTGGTTTTCTTAACAGAAGTTTTATTTAAAGAACTTTCCGGATAAATATTTCATGGAAGAAAATATAAACATCAATGAATAGATGTATTTCATAAAATAATATCATAAGATGCACAAATTAAACTTCAATTGGGTTAAGCCAATAACAAACCTGTTTTGGCCCATGGGTTGAGTGGGCATGAAGTGTTTGGACCAACAAGGGGTTCTATAAGTTGACCCATCAAACAAATTATGTTTCGCAATGGCAATATTTACTGAAGAAATTGAAAATCCCCTCTTATCTACCAACAACTGCAAGGACACCCCTTTACTAAACAAATGGAAAGGCCCTCCCATATGTAAACAACTGCTCAAAACCCTTGAATACAATATGAGAATAAATGTTCATGGCTAAACAGGAAACAGAAACTCAACTGAAACACAAAATCTGGGATGGTCAACTGCTCACGAGGTATATATCTAAAGAGTTGCAGAAGTCGATCAGCATACACCACTTTCTTCCAAACCTGAAAGTTTATTGCAAATAATAATTATAAATGTAAGCTCCTCAAATAGGTCCAACTTCCACGCATAAAATGCAATCTCTAACATACCACATTGTCCACAAGCCACTGAAGCGTTAATATTGCCGTTTTTAGTCCAAAGGTTGGGTGAAGCACATAAATTGCCTACATACATCAAACTGAAAGATCAGAACAGAGACCATGAAGCTGTCATGTATCAAGGTTATCTCTGCACAGTGCATACATGCAGGTTTCGCCGGTGCTTCTGACCAAGTATCTGCTGTAATCTTTTCATCCAACCCAGGTCTGGTTGCCTATATATTCCAATAGTAGGGCGAAGAGAAGTAAAGATATAAATTTTATCAACAAAAATCTAGAGCAACCAATGTTAGAAGTTACTTGTAAATACATCATGAAACAACAAGCTTATATAAAATATTCTTCATTAACGTTCAAAACATGCTTCTCTTCCTGTATATCTTCTCCATTTTCATTTTTGTATTTATATTTTGGTTTGCCACTTTAAAATGCAGCTAGGAATAACAATGCATCAACGCATTTAACCTCACCAGGAAAACCATCTTCAGCAAAGGACCACATAATTAAGAAGCAATGTATCAAGTACTCTCAACAAAGGGACATATGATTAAGTGAATTCCAGATGCAAAAACATGAACGAAGCCAACAGATAAGTAAATGTTTTTTTCCTAACAATCACGCAAATTACTGTGGATATCATGCAAGATATCCGGTGACCAAAATACTATTGCAGATCTATACAAAAGCATACACATCTATGTTAAACCATATTTATCGCATCTCGATGGTTGAATTTCCATTTCCTTTTTGCTTACTGAATGGGGAACAGTTAATTACCCTAATTTTGGCTACTAAGTGTTTTTAATATATTCTAAATGGATACATAATTCAAAAAACATAACAACTAGTTGGCAAATGAAGGTCTACAGATAGTCCATTTCCTCTACATGCACTGACAATTTTTTCAAGATGGACAGCCCTAAGAATATAAGAAACCACTATTTGCTTAAAAGAAATTGCTAATATGTACTCTGCACAGTTTTATCATATAAAACTTACATCTGCAGAGATGCAGCAGAGTGGAAGTAAACAATCGTATAAGGCTTCTGTATTAAAGGCTCGAACTCCTGAAATTTTGACGCCAAAATGATTTATTACATTTAAAAAGTAAACAGGAAATAGGAAATATAAAAACTAGAATTTATTGCTAGAAATCAGTTACAAAGAGGGAATATGGACAGGGTTATAAGACTCATCAATTATTATAGGATGTGTTACAGACTAGAAGGGTTTAAAGCGAGATTGCTGCCTGAATATATGTGTGCAAATGATCAAGGTTTCTCATTCAACGTATCGATGCTTTAATGATAAATTTCAACAGCACGCATTGCCAACATCCAGGAAATGAGATTTCATAATCACCAATGTTATGCTCAACCTAAATAAATGTCAAGAAGTAGATTATAAGCATATTACCTTTACCACGTAGAGCACAAATCGCTCCAGATCAAGACATCTGAGCAAAAAGTGTGCCCCCACAACAACCATAACAGGACGACCTTCGTTGTCTACTCCACCACGATAACTGAAAATAATATTACATTGATCATTACAAGAAAAGATTAATCTGAGCAATTGCAAAAAGCCTTCACATTGATCAGTTAAAATAAATAAGCTTGTCCGAAATTTTAAAGAGCATAAACATTATAATATAGAAGAATTGTATTATCCTGCATCACTATTTTATTATTCAGTTCCCAAAAGGAGAATGACCATATCATGATAACACAAACGAAACTATTTCAGTACACTCAACTTCTCTATTTTTGTAAAGATGGCAAACCATTCTCTACCAGGTATGCAAAGACCACCAACTAGCATGACTCACCAGTCATAACAGTGAAGTAAAATAGAGATTAGAAGTCATATCTAAATTGACTGTGCGAGCAAAACTTGAGATTGAAGTACAGATACTTACACAATTTTCATATCTGCAATTTCGGAAAGACTTAGAGAATTCGCTTTAGCAAGGTATCTAGAGTGAAGAGAATATTCTTCAGCAGCAGATAATGGAGGCGTGACAAGAGCACCAAATCCTAGCATTTTAGCTAAATTCCAGCCTCTTTGTGCTTCAGCAGCTTTCTCCCACTGCTCCTGACGTCTTTGATCTGGATCTTTTACTATGGACATGAAAGCAGGGTCCAGAAACAAACCTAATGATGACGAAGTCCTGTATAAGCCACACAGATCAGGAACACTCCATCACAAACGAACATTAGTCCAAAATACTAAGCAAATGAATCAAAAGGCAATTAATAATGACATATACATTCCGTTGGAAACCATAGTTAATTTTGTTGGAAATTATAGTTGATTTCAACTAACTTATTTTGTGTTTTCATTTTAATTAAGGATGACATTTTTTAGTTATTTTTGGACATCATTGTTCTCCTCTAGGATTAGTTATAGTGCTTGATTTCGACATGGTTAGACCCATCCCATTTTGATTAATATGATATTATTTTAAATATTTTGTTTTAGATAGACTTTATCAGAGCTTAAATCTCTCTTCTATCATCTACCAATGCAATGTTGCTTTCATCTAATTAAATACATTTAAAGGATTCTTGAAACCTGAATTTCCACACATTCCATATATTAAAAATACTTTTTATTTCAAGTAGAAAAATCGCAATTGTTGCTCCTGTGAATAAGGATAGGATAGCAATGATTTGCTTTTAAGCTAGACTTTCAGAGAGCACATCGCTGAGTTAGTATGGGCTTTCTAGATAAGGTTCCTGCAAGAAACTGGTTTTGCTCAAGTAAGAAAGAGTAGATTCAAGGTTTCCTTTCAGCGATCACATTTTCTGTGGTTGAAATAATGGGACATAAATGCTGGTACCATGGCCAGAAGGGAATCAGGCAAGAGACTTCATCTCCTTTATATTTTACTATAGTTCTGGATGTTTGTGCTAATGACTTTATTTGAAAGGAAAATTTGGGCAAGTGTTCCAGCATTAATGAAGAAATCCATATTGTGACTTCTTTTCTTTTTCTTTTTTCTTTTTTCTTTTTTTATTTTTGGGACTTCTTTAGCTAGTTTGAATTGTCAGGCTTTTGCAATGGCAGCCTCAAACCTATCTAGCAGTAAAAACTATGTAGATATTAAACCTCCCAAACTTTCAACATAGATGTATGTTAGATACACACAGAGATGGGGGAGAGGGAAAAATTAGAAAACAATTAAGATATAAGCAAAAACTTGTAAATCTTGAAACTATAACTAACCTGCGTATCGAGCCAACATCACCGATCAGAACATCAACTGAAGCTTCAGGAGATTTTACAACATTCTGTTTAGGCAAAGGCTTAATTCTGATTTTACGCTCGTCAATGGCAGTCTCACCATTCTCATCTCCAACATCTGCAGGAAGCTTTGTTGAAGCCACCTCCTCCTCATGGTTATCACGAGGAAAGTAAAGCGGAAGCAACCTACATAGAATGTTTCAAAATAACAAGTCGATAGGGAATAAAGTATGCAAAAGTAAGATTGGTAAGAAAGTCAACCAACATTGGATAACTTTCAAAGACTAGTTTCACTCATAACAGTGCAAGTAGTGAAAACCACAAGACTTGAAAATACCTTTTATATATCTCAGTATCAGTTGTGCTGATAGTGCAAAAGACAACAGCTGTTATGTTGGCTTTATGCTTCTCAAGAAACCTTCGCACAGTCCCTGTATAACAGACATTAATAAGAAAAAGGGGACAAAGGGAAACAAAAATAAGAAGGCAGTGATTTAGCCACTGTTATTCAACAATATGAAATCAACCGCTAGCTTAACAACAGAGGAAGCATGCACCACACTCTCAGATGTATTTAAGAATTGTGCATTATGGTAAGTATTATGCACATATAGATATTCCTAATATGCATTAAGGTTTCCTTCTAATAATGCACCTCCCTGTCAACCCTTAGTTTTATAAAAACATTTTTTTTTATATTAAGCCTTTACAGCAGCTACCTTTCATATGGAAAACTGTAATGAAATAGTTATAACACGTCTCAAAATGATTGGGGCAATTTTGATTCTCTGAGGTTGCTAATGTTATCCTATATGATTTATAAGGTGAGGGTAACTATCACAGGAATCATATTAGAAAAAGTAACATCATGAAGGAAAAAATATCTCACTAATAGCCACATGCGCAGCTGGTTCACGGGGATAATTCTTTGCCTCCGTATAAATACAACTCGTAGCTATGCTGCATACATATGTGCCCAAGATCATAAGAAACAATATAGGAGATGCACCAAAACCAAAACTTTTGCAAGGATGAAATGATATGAAATGTTTAAATAAACCTGCAAAGACCATTTTCAATCAGAAGCTCCAGGCACGAACGATAGCAATGACTTAAAGCATTTTCTGCAGCAGTATGGTACTTCACAGCATACTTAGGACCAACAGTATGTATGACTCTCCTACAAAATTTACAGAAGGAATAAAACTTAGTATACAAGAAATACAGCTTATTGCTGAGAAATTGCATGTAACTAAGGAAGAATTACACATGAGACAAAGGGGTAGAAAACAATGGCATAAAAAGTGCAGCAAGATACAATTAACAATCTTAGATCCAAACTACAAGAAAAGAACAAGCATGCAGCTTAGCATTTGCAGAAACGCATCCACCATTTAACAAACTACAATATGCAAATCCCACACCCCCTACCAAACATCCAAAATGACACAAAATCAGTAATAGAAAGCATCTTGTAATAAATGCAACACTCTGACTGAAATGAAAACGAATTGTCAGTGTCCATTCTCCGGGCAAAAGCCATGTTTGCATAGCGGAGTGGTCTAATAAGTACATGAAAGAGGGTCATATAGGCCAAATACCAACCTTGCGGGGAGGTCATATGCACTAGTAACTTTAGCCATTCCTGTTCGACATCCACCCTGTCAAGAATAAAGATACAAAATCAGTATATGCCGACATTGAACTTGTCACTTCTAGAAAACTTGTCATAACTCATGCCACTGAGACAACACAATTTATCAGAGAATTTTATTGGAAACAAACAGGTTCACATATATGCAACAACAATACCTCAGTTAATATTCGAACTAAAACCTTAAATTCACAAAAGAATTAAAAAATTATAAGTAATAAAAAGTATTAAACTCATAACTAATGCCCCAGGCTCACATACTATCAAAATTATGCGCATAAAGTATAATTTTTTTCTGAAGCAATTAGAAAGAACATATGATTAACCATACCAGTGTCATACATTCTTCTGCAAGACCAGGTCCAGCTGCAGCATGCAACCCAGGGCTGCTATGTGCTTCATCCAAGTTCTGTTGACCCAGAAAATAATTGGTTAAAAAAATATGGGCTGGTAAGGTCCATTTTATTTACTACACGTTCAGTTCAACATGCTTAATAGCAGTGGCAAATACATATATTTCAGTCAGTACAGAGAAGGAACAATAAATGCATACTTCTAAACTCTATCACCTAAGTGTTTATAACAATTTTATGAAGCAAGTGAAATTATCTCTTCATTGGTAATGATGTTCACAAGAATAAGGTAATTTCTGCATCTTTGTAGCTGTCATGTCAAAGAAATATATTCATTGTCTTTCCAATTTCTAGCTACACAATTTGAGACAAATAAAAGGGGCGATTGGAGATGTAGCAGGCGCAATATGAAAATCAATATATACCTATAATAGAAATTTGCAAAAACTATAGGGGGCATTTTCTCACGAGTCCATATAGTGGATCCACCAGGACAGCCCCTGCTCAATAGTTACCTTATATTACATGATGACACCAATCAGGGTGATTAAAATGTTTGGCCACAAGAATATTATTAACAGGACCCAAGGTAAGGATAAAAAGCATTTCCAATGTAATATAATACCCGAGCTAGCAAGCAGACACAAGATAGCTCATAGCATTAAGTGCCACACACATATTTGGGGGAAAATAACTCTTGCCATTTTTTCATAGATAGAGACATATTAATACAAAATAACTCTTATTAGGCTACATATCATAGCTTTATTCAGCAACAGAATCATCGTTAACCAAAAATTTCATTGCTTCCAGACACCAGACAGTTTAGTATTGCCAGACGCTTTTGGGCTTAAGTCAAAAGGTAACAACAGAAAATGGTTAGCTCTATGCAAAAGAACAGAAATCAGGAACCCCTAACATACAACTGACCCAGACAAAAAATATATTTTTAAGTTCATGGTAGGTGGGTATATTATCAAAAACCCTTAAACAGAATAGTCATTTCACATAACAGAACAAATGCATTGGTGCCCTTTCTGCCCCTACTTCCAACATGTTTCCCAGTACCCCTTCAAGGGTTATTATCGAGCAAGAAAAGTACAAGAAAAAATAAGCAGAGAAACATAACGAACATTTAATCTATTTATTGCGGACTGAAACACCCAGCACACTGCAACAGAAGTCAATAAAGCAGATTTCACTTTAGCTTCGCCCAACAGGAAAAAATTGGATTTATAATTTTATCAGGAAAGTTCTACAATCAATTGTCTTCTAAAGCACTACCACATAAAGTCATATAAAAACAAAACATAAGTTCCAACATGCGAATTTGTTTTGGCAGTCCATAATATTCTTTGCAAATAACAGAAAACATGATTATGGCAACTAGAATTTACCGTTATCAATTATAGAAAGTTCAAATCAGATGATAAGGAACATATATACACATAACACATACATGTGCGCATGCATATAACATACCTCATTTGTCGAATTTACTACAGCATCCACTGCGAGATTCCAGGGATCCCCCCTCCACAAATAAATCTTTGAATTAATTTCATGGTCAACCGGAAACCTTGCCACTGACCCAAAGCCACCCCCCTGTGTTCCTGATGTAAACGTTAACGGGTCAGGAAAATTTGAGCAAGAATACGATGGATCTCCATTGTCATACTCCAAGGAAGGCCTATGCTCGGCATCACCCCATCGTGGAATCTGATCTAAAATCACAATGGAATCCCCATTATCAGTCGGCAATCCACCTCGGGTTGTGGCTGACCCCACAGGCTGGTACATTTGCGTAACTCCGATTTATCTCTTCTTGAGGTTTCTGTGCCAAGAAAATTATAACAACTCACAGGTGACAGGTTTTACATTCCAAAATACAAGTAAAAGTAGCTCTAATGGAATTAGAGACAAAGACTAGAAGGAAACTCGAACAGGAAGTTCTGTCGGCCACAATAAAGATCTTTCAATACATACAATTACCTCCATTAAACAAACCAGAACCTTCCCTCCAAATTCTCTTCAAAGTAACCGACGTAAATCAAGATTTCAGACAAAATTTTCAAGATTCCTCCTACTCATAAATCATTCTCGTTTGGAAACCACAAAAATCCAGGGAAAAGAATTATGAATATGAAAATCTGATTGCATAGCACCAAAAGCAAACAAAACTATGCATGGCATACTTCAATAGCTATTTCCAAGAGTAATTCCGAAACAAAAGCAGACGCTGATCTTATACTTGCATTAAGAACGTTTAAGGGATAATTGATTAGAATCAAAACCCTCACCTGAGATTTTGTGGGAAGAAATGAAAACGAAAATCTCAGATATATGAACACAACCAAAAAATGACGACAATAATTTCGAACCCAAAAAAACTACCTGGAACTAGATTCTGGGTGGAGAAAATGAATTCTGTTTACGTCCTTTCCCCCTCTGATTTTCTGCGTGGGAATGGCTCAGAAATACAGCTCATTACTGGGTTGACGACGATGAACTTGCAAAGTGCCTTCAACCGGGATAGAATTTCGATGAAAAATTATTATAATATATATATATATATATATCTCTCTCTCTCTCTCTCTCTCACACGCACACACACACACACACAAGCGTCCTGGCTTTTTGTCCTTTTCTGTGCCACTCGAACAAATTATTAACTGATAAATTGTATTTTTTCCTTAGTTCTGATCAGTAATATTTGTTTTTGGTCAAAATAAATCACTACTCTTTGTCTATAACATGAAAATATATGTGATTTATTTTCTAATATAATGATAACAATAATTTTAAAAGAAATAATTTGAAAAACACTTCGTAAGTTGAAAAAAAATCGTCATAATTTGGCAAAAATATTTAAAAAATAAAGTAATGTAATTTAATATTTAACATAAATAGATTTTTATAAATGTCATGAGTATCTTCATTATGGGTATATTTATATTTACATGTATAATGTATTATCTGAAAAACGAAAATATTTTAAAATAAAATAAAAATAAAATAAATCTCTATAACGTTAAATTGTGTTCAACGAAAAAATATTAGTATTTTTACGCCGTAATGAAGAATTTGATAGTTGATAGTTGATACTATTTTTTTTCCTCAGTAGCAATCATTGGTATCTAATATTTTATTTTTCAGTCATTAAAGTGCAAAATCAAAATGTGGCTCTGAGACTTGATAATACTACTCCGGTCCTTAATGTAAGACCCATTTAACTAATTTGATTAGATTAATGAAATTAGGTAAGTTAGTTAATTATAAGAAAAGTAACACATTTTTCCTAAAACACCACAATCATCTTTTTTAATACTCCTCTCCTTCTTCTTTTGATTATGGTTGAGGGAATATCTATAGGGGTAATTTAGAGAAAATTGATAAATATGAGAAATGGATCTTATATTTAGGATCAAAACCAACTCAAGAATTGGATCTTATATTAAGGATCGGAGGAGTATATACCAATCCTATTTGTAAACCACGCTTTAATTTTTTCATTAAAATATAATAATTTTTTAATTTTATTTTTATTTAATATATATATCTTTCAAAAAAATTAACTATCTATATTATAATAAATAAAGGACAAAATAGTAACTTATAAAAAGAACTGAAAATTTTTTTCTCTCTATCTTATAAATAAAACCTGATGATCCAATTTAATTTCTCTTTGAAATTAAATGCGCATGTAACTAGATATTGGTAATCATGATAAGTATATTAATTAAAAATATTAAGAGCTATATTCATCCCAAAAAATAAATAGGAGCTATTCATTGCGGTTAATTTTGAATTGAACTCAACTCTCTATAAATATACTTGGCTCAATGTCAAGGATTTTTAAGGTTGAGCTTTACTTTTTGCTCTTGAATTAATATTTAATTTGAATGTTAAAAATTCTCAACTACGTTTATATCAAGTTTAATTTTTAAAATAACAATAATTATTATCAAAATTTATTATTTGAGACTAATGATATTAGGATTAGAGGACTAAAAAATACTTTATAAATTTAAGAGATTAAAATAAAATCATGTATAAAATTAAATGATCAAATGTGCGCCATTGCTTTAATTTTTGTCTAAAAAATTGGATAAAATAGACCCTACCCAAGGTAAGAAGTGCTAGAGTAAAATGCCAAAAATAATATGACTAATTTAGATATTAAAAATAATACTAAACTTCATCGAGTAATAAAGATCAAATGACATACATCTAAATTGAAGAATTAAAGAAACTAGCTAAAATTTTGAGGAAAAAAAACAAGAAGCGAAAATAGAAAAGACCCCAACTAAAAAATCTACTTTCTTCACTTAAAATATATATATATTATTTTTTTTCATTTGCAAATTGCCTCCACGGCCAACCTATTCTCCTTGTCTGTGCCACACCCGCTAGCTCCAAGCACTTCCTCAGTAACATCAAAAGAACACATTTGCTTGCCAGTACAAAGCTGCAAGAATAATTTAAAAAAAAAAACCATTATTACTCTAAATAATGTGATTAATTATAATTAATCCCCAATAATTTTCATGAATTGATTTTTATTTAATTTATATAGCGTACCTTATTGATGGCTGATAACGCTTGTGGGGATTCACAAGAACCCTTTTGAAAGGATCCACAAGAACCCTTTTGAAAGGATCCACAAGAACCAGAGGATTGGCCAAAGCTGGCAAACTTGATCTCAGAGATGACTTGTTCTTTATTGCAAGCTAACTCCAGCTTGTGGTTTTCATAAGCATTGGCACAAATCTTCTCAGGTATCACAGTTCCAATCCTCACGTCATTTGGATTCCCTCCTTTATCCTCAAACACTACCAATGAGTTCAGTCCTACAAGGTTCAGAAAAGACCTTGGAACATGGTACCTAATCATCACCAAGAAAAAGAAAATACAAATACTAAATATGTTAGTAGATTTTTTTTTTAACGAAATAATTTCAGCCTTGCAATACCCTAAAAAAAGAATTATTAATAATAAAGTTGCATTGTTTATAAGATGTAAAGAGTTCTCTTCAAATACTAATGACTTTATAGTGTAGCAGCATGAAAGCTTTTCTGTACGAGGAAGATCACGGGTTTTGATTAGTACTTACCCATTTAATTCCAAAAAAAAAAAATCTCCTCGAATGGACATAGTACATATGAAAAGAGAGAATCCCATAAGTCAGACACATAGGGCCTCCGAGACCTTTTCATCTTTTTCTCTTTTGACTCGGATCCTCATGTTGTGTATTGGTAAGTTGTGCTAGTCATAAGATATTATGAATAGATATTTATATGAATTATCTCCAAATAAACATATTAACAAGGTTATTTAAAATAAGTGCTTTAATTTTACAATTTAAAAGATAATACTCATTTCACATATCTAATTGTATATATCTCGTAAAACGCCCTAAGATGTCTAATCAATCAACTTAACATTATTATGTCAAATGTCCTCTATACCTAACAAGAGAATCCTATGCACATGAAAATTGCGGGAGGCTTCAAACTACGCACATGTGATCTACGTGGAGTTGAAGATAAAAATTGAATATATATATATATATATATAAATATATATATAGAGCTAGGAATTGAGAAGAATGGTTAATTACCATCTTTGAGTAGGGTTGCCACAGTTGGTCAAGCACTTGTTAGATTTATAGGGTCCACGGTAGTCACAAGAGGCTGAGCAACCATCCTGACCTGCAATATAACTTGACCAATACCTTCCTAAGCTATTCCCATTAACCCAAGCTTCTCCTTTCCCTAATCCCTTCAAATCCAGCACCACTGCATCTCTCCCACTTGGACTCTTGAACCATGTCTATACATATATATATATATATATATATATATATATAACTTAGAGTTAGCTTAATTAATAACATGTACAGAAAAAACAGACAATAACAATATACTATAAATAATATATGTTTATGAACATGTTGTCTTGTTTTTATATTACCTTGTACCAAACTAGGGGTTTGTCCTTTGGAAGGCCAAAAATAAGCCAAGGCTTGATGGCATTTGGAAGGCTATAGAGTTGATCAAGCTGACCTTGCAATCCCACTTTGTAAGCCCATTGATTCTTTGAGATATCAACTATTTGCTCTTTACCACTTTCATTTGCAGCCAACACAACAGGTCCCAGGATTCCCACTTTCACATTGTCAAAGAATGCTCCATAGTTCTATATATTCATCATCCAACACAGAAACACAAATTCTCAGAGAGATTAATTATATATATATATCTGTATGTAATATCATCAATAATCTTAATCTGTTTATTATTATATCACTTACTGGTAATCCAACAGTGCCACTGAGAAGAGCAATCTCGTTCTTTCCAAGATCAGTTTGATCTTGGACTCAAATTGAAACTGATAGTGTCCATTCTCAGTAAATTGAGAACCTGGCAACCACAATATGATATATGATTAGGGTTTTCAGTTAATTAAGAAATACTACCTTGATTCCTAATAAAGAGTTAGATAATTAATTGAAAATATCAAGAAAATTAACTAAGTTAATTATTTCTAACAAACATGTGTCAGTTTTCCTAAACTACACTATTTAATTATCTGTATTGAAATTGCTCATTGATGAAAACCATATTAATACGTACAATCAATAGAGATAAACTAAACATTTACAAGACAAAGTAGATTGAAGCTGATCAAAATAAATTCTTTATCTAGTTTCTATATCTGAGACTGAAGGGGGTGTGTGTGCGTGTGTGTGTCAAAGCTGTGAGTGAGAGACTACCAACACGGAGGCCATTGACAAAAACATGAATAAGGTGGCTAGAAGTGTTGACTCTGATTGAAACATCTTGACCCAAAAGAGGATCACTTTGATTATTAACATTAACACTTGTAGCGTACCACAAGTAATCACTTGTGTCATTAGTCACCACTTTCTGATCCAAAAGCTGTGAAGCTTTCATAGTCTTAACCTTAAACTTATTCTCTAGCGGTTCATTCCTCCATTCCCATTTCATTCTCTTCTTCTTCTTCATTCTCCATTCATCAATTCATCATCACAGTCGTCTGAGTATTCACCTACATGCATTCACATGAAATTAAACACAAAACCCTAATCTTTCATTGAAAATCTTGGTTAATATTACTATTATCATATATAGACATACACACGCATGTATAGAGGTTTAACATTCTTGTTGGTCCTAACATTTTGATTTTGATCTACGTACATCCACATGCTTTTAATTGTCTCTACACTTAATCTCGACCAAGTCTTTACAAAACTAGAAAGATCAAAACCAAAATTTGATCAAACTATAAGGACTAACAATGGTATTAATATATATATATATATATATATAATATCCTGAATATATGAAGCATTCTTACCTTTGCAGTATTGTAAACTTCTCTGGAACAATTTTGGAGGATTGTAACAGACCAAGCAGGGACAGTGTAAGTCTTATTTCGGAAGGTTACAGTGGCATCACTGGTCTCATTTTTATTTCCCAGGAAGCA